CTGGTCAACCAGGCTGTTGGAAGAAGACAACCTAGCCTAACATTTCCTAGGCCTAAATTAGGCATATAATTGAGTATGTTAGCCTTAGGATTGCTTGCTTTAGGTACGGAACGGAAGGAAACTATCAGGGGAAAGTGCCAAGCCATTACGACTATATAGCACAGGGAAGGGGTCGGGATAAGGATTTGGGATGGGACGGGGGGGAGAGGAATGGTGCCCAACCACTTGTGGACGGTCGGGGATTGAACGCCGACCTGCAGGAAGAGAGACCGCCGCTCTAAGTTTAGGTACAGAATGTTAGGTTGATAGGCTCTCAGTTTTTAGTATGCCCTCTAGTATTTCAATGTTGCAAAAGCGTGGACTATTTTTGCCTGCATTGTATGGATTATACATGCAATGTATGGACTATACATGCATTGTATATACTATTTTTGTCCATACATTGTTGATAAGGTGGGTGGCAAGTGCAGTAGCTGGAACGTCGTCGTCCCTTCACTTTCTAGTGTGTGGTTTGGTCAACATATTTCGGCCGCGTTATTGTAACTCCTCGTCTGCACTGGAATGTAAAATTATGATGGATTTTGGGATATGAACTCAACCCTTGTAGTATTGGATCACCTTTTACCTCATATCCATAACATGAGTACTCTGAGAGCAGAGGTGCAACAGGTACTCTGAGAGAGAACTATCAACATCAGAGGCCCGAGACTGTTCAACACGCTTCCACTACACATAAGGGACATAACTGGCCGACCCCTCACAGTGTTCAAGAGAGAACTATTAACATCAGAGGTCCGAGACTGTTCAACACGCTTCCACTACACATAAGGGACATAACTGGCCGACCCCTCACAGTGTTCAAGAGAGAACTATCAACATCAGAGGCCCGAGACTGTTCAACACGCTTCCACTACACATAAGGGACATAACTGACCGACCCCTCACAGTGTTCAAGAGAGAACTATCAACATCAGAGGCCCGAGACTGTTCAACACGCTTCCACTACACATAAGGGACATAACTGGCCGACCCCTCACAGTGTTCAAGAGAGAACTATCAACATCAGAGGCCCGAGACTGTTCAACACGCTTCCACTACACATAAGGGACATAACTGGCCGACCCCTCTCAGTGTTCAAGAGAGAACTATCAACATCAGAGGCCCGAGACTGTTCAACACGCTTCCACTACACATAAGGGGCATAACTGGCCGACCCCTCACAGTGTTCAAGAGAGAACTATCAACATCAGAGGCCCGAGACTGTTCAACACGCTTCCGCTACACATAAGGAACATAACTGGCCGACCCCTCACAGTGTTCAAGAGAGAACTTGATAAGCACCTCCAAAGGATACCTGATCAACCAGGCTGTGACTCATACGTCAGGCTGCGAGCAGCCGCGTCCAACAGCCTGGTTGATCAGTCCAGCAACCAGGAGGCCTGATCAGAGACCGGACCGCGGGGACGTTTTTCCACGAAATCAACGCAAGATACATCGTGATTTTTTTTCGCGGTACAAACATTCCCTACTGTGTCCCCAGCAGCTACAGCCACAACAGTTTGCTAGAGCAGATCACCGTATCCCACACGCGCACGGAACTCTTAATCACTCAAAGGTTCAAATTCGACACAAACTCCACTCCAGACACCAAAGCGAGAAGGGGGGGGGGAGGGGGGGCAAGTAGACAGATTAATAGATATTGTCATCAATTTTGGGTCATTTTCCCTATCAGTCCTGTCAATACTGGCGTCCAGTGGACGGTAGAGACGACCGGGGGGGGGGGGGGGAGGGGGTGGAGGGTTAGAGAGGGGGGGTTAGTGGGGGGGGGGAGGAGGGGGTAGTGGAGTTAAATGTTAATACGTCCGTCATTTAGGTAACAAGGGATGCAGTAAGGCTAAGCAATTCTCCGATGGTCATTTAGGATGGTTAAATGCGACAGCGGGTTGTCGTGTCTGAGGGATATTACAAGTGAGTGAGTGAGTGAGTGCGTGTGCGTGTGTGTGTACTCACCTAGTTGTGCTTGCGGCGGTTGAGCTCTGGCTCTTTAGGTCCCGCCTCTCAACTGTCAATCAACTGTTTCTACTAATACTATTTTTTTTTCACCCTATGTCCCTGTTACCTAGCAGTAAATAGGTACGTTGGAGTTAAGTCAGCTGTCACGGGCTGCTTTCTGGTGTGTGTGTGTGTGTATGTGGAGGGGGGGGGGAATAGTAGTAGTCGAAACAGTTGATTGACTGTTGAGAGGCGGGACCAAAGAGCCAGAGCTCAACCCCCGCAAACACAACTAGGTGAGCACATCACTGTAATATAGTACAAATAATGCTGTTATCCACCAAGAAAACACCAGTAACTCAACAGGTACCTGGTTGATGGGGTTCTGGGAGTTCTACTCCCAAAGCCCGGCCCGAGGCCAGGCTTGACTTGTGAGAGTTTGGTCCACCAGGCTGTTGCTTGGAGCGGCCCGAGGCCAGGCTTGACTTGTGAGAGTTTGGTCCACCAGGCTGTTGCTTGGAGCGGCCCGAGGCCAGGCTTGACTTGTGAGAGTTTGGTCCACCAGGCTGTTGCTTGGAGCGGCCCGAGGCCAGGCTTGACTTGTGAGAGTTTGGTCCACCAGGCTGTTGCTTGGAGCGGCCCGAGGCCAGGCTTGACTTGTGAGAGTTTGGTCCACCAGGCTGTTGCTTGGAGCGGCCCGAGGCCAGGCTTGACTTGTGAGAGTTTGGTCCACCAGGTTGTTGCTTGGAGCGGCCCGAGGCCAGGCTTGACTTGTGAGAGTTTGGTACACCAGGCTGTTGCTTGGAGCGGCCCGAGGCCAGGCTTGACTTGTGAGAGTTTGGTCCACCAGGCTGTTGCCTGGAGCGGCCCGAGGCCAGGCTTGACTTGTGAGAGTTTGGTCCACCAGGCTGTTGCTTGGAGCGGCCCGAGGCCAGGCTTGACTTGTGAGAGTTTGGTCCACCAGGCTGTTGCTTGGAGCGGCCCGAGGCCAGGCTTGACTTGTGAGAGTTTGGTCCACCAGGCTGTTGCTAGGAGCGGCCCGAGGCCCACATACCCACCACAGCCCGGCCCGAGGCCAGAACTTCTCTTAGAAAACAGTCCAGTTTCTCTTGAAGATGTCCACGGTTGTTCCGGCAATATTTCTTATGCTCGCTGGGAGGACGTTGAACAACCGCGGACCTCTGATGTTTATACAGTGTTCTCTGATTGTGCCTATGGCACCTCTACTCTTCACTGGTTCTATTCTGCATTTTCTTCCATATCGTTCACTCCAGTACGTTGTTATTTTACTGTGTAGATTTGGGACCTGACCCTCCAGTGCTGTTACTGTTGTGTTTGTTGCTGTTGCTGCTTCTGTTGCTGCTTCTGTTGCTGCTGCTGTTGCTGCTGCTGATGTTTGCTGCTTGCTTGCTTGCTTACCTACCCCCCTCCATCCGTCTCCCCCCCCTTCCGGCCTCACTTCGCTAACTGACTTAAGTGCAACAACTCCCCCCCCCACATTACTCAGCGCCATCTATCAGCCAACAGTGTAAATGATACTAATGCCTCGCGGCCGATTTAACTTGGATGTTCGGTGGTGTGTGGTCGGCAGGAATACAATACCCGGCGGTTAATACATCACACCAGCAGCAGCAGGCGATGGTGGGGAAGGCAGCCACAGTGACACGCTGGGAGAGGGTCGGGGAGGAAGGCAGACTGGAAGGGGCAAGGCAGGCACAGCAACAGGCTGGAACAGAGAAAGGCAGGCAGCAACAGGCTGGAACAAGGAAAGGGAGGCAGAGCGACAAGCTGGAACGAGGAAAGGCAGGCAGAGCGACAGGCTGGAACAGAGAAAGGCAGGCAGCAACAGGCTGGAACAAGGAAAGGGAAGCAGAGCGATAGGCTGGAACAGAGAAAGGCAGGCAGAGCGACAGGCTGGAACAGAGAAAGGCAGGCAGAGCGACAGGCTGGAACAGAGAAAGGCAGGCAGAGCGACAGGCTGGAACAGAGAAAGGCAGGCAGGGCGACAGGCTGGAACAGAGAAAGGCAGGCAGAGCGACAGGCTGGAACAGAGAAAGGCAGGCAGAGCGACAGGCTGGAACAGAGAAAGGCAGGCAGAGCGACAGGCTGGAACAGAGAAAGGCAGGCAGAGCGACAGGCTGGAACTGGGAAAGGCAGGCAGAGCGACAGGCTGGAACTGGGAAAGGCAGGCAGAGCGACAGGCTGGAACTGGGAAAGGCAGGCAGAGCGACAGGCTGGAACTGGGAAAGGCAGGCAGAGCAAATTGGGCGAAGGGAGCAGGTGGTTGAACACAAGGTACCACCTGGGAGGTGAAATCCTGCAAGAGTCAAAGAGAGAAAGATCTGGGGGTTGATATCACACCGAACCTGTCCCCAGAGGCCCACATCAAAAGGATATCATCAGCGGAATATGCTAGACTGGCCAATATAAGAACTGCCTTTAGAAACTTGTGTAAGGAATATTTCAGGACCCTGTATACCACTTATGTCAGACCAATCTTGGAATGTGCAGCGCCAGCCTAGAGTCCATGCCTAGTTAAACACAAGACGAAGTTAGAGAAGATTCAGCGGTATGCCACCAGGCTTGTCCCGGAACTGAGAGGAATGAGCTACGAGGAAAGGCTAAAGGAGCTGAACCTCACGTCCCTGGAAAACTGAAGAGTAAGGAGAGACATGATAACCACCTACAAAATTCTCAGGGGAATTGACAGGGTGGACAAAGACAAACTCTTTAGCACGGGTGGGACACGAACAAGGGGAAACAGGTGGAAACTTAGTTTCCAGATGAGCCACAGAGACTTTAGAAAGATTTTTTTCAGTGTCAGAGTAGTTAATAAATGGAATGCATTAAGTAGTGTTGTGGTGGAGGCTGACTCCATACACAGTTTCAAGTGTAGACATGATAGAGCCCAGTAGGCTCAGGAACCTGTACACCAGTTGATTGACAGTTGAGAGGCGGGACCAAAGAGCCAGAGCTCAACCCCCGCAAGCACAATTAGGTGAGTACAGCAACAGACTGGAACAAGGAAAGACAGCCACAGCAACAGACTGGAACAAGGAAAGACAGCCACAACAACAGACTGGAACAAGGAAAGACAGCCACAGCAACAGACTGGAACAAGGAAAGACAGGCACAGCAACAACAGACTGGAACAAGGAAAGACAGGCACAGCAACAGACTGGAACAAGGAAAGACAGCCACAGCAACAGACTGGAACAAGGAAAGACAGCCACAGCAACAGACTGGAACAAGGAAAGACAGCCACAGCAACAGACTGGAACAAGGAAAGACAGGCACAGCAACAGACTGGAACAAGGAAAGACAGCCACAGCAACAGACTGGAACAAGGAAAGACAGCCACAACAACAGACTGGAACAAGGAAAGACAGCCACAGCAACAGACTGGAACAAGGAAAGACAGCCACAGCAACAGACGGGAACAAGGAAAGACAGCCACAGCAACAGACTGGAACAAGGACAGACAGCCACAGCAACAGACTGGAACAAGGACAGACAGCCACAGCAACAGACTGGAACAAGGAAAGACAGCCACAGCAACAGACTGGAACAAGGACAGACAGCCACAGCAACAGACGGGAACAAGGAAAGACAGCCACAGCAACAGACTGGAACAAGGAAAGACAGGCACAGCAACAACAGACTGGAACAAGGACAAACAGTCACAGCAACAGACTGGAACAAGGAAAGACAGGCACAGCAACAACAGACTGGAACAAGGACAAACAGGCACAGCAACAGACTGGAACAAGGAAAGACAGGCACATCAACAACAGACTGGAACAAGGACAAACAGTCACAGCAACAGACTGGAACAAGGACAGACAACCACAGCAACAGACTGGAACAAGGAAAGACAGGCACAGCAACAACAGACTGGAACAAGGACAAACAGTCGCAGCAACAGACTGGAACAAGGAAAGACAGGCACAGCAACAACAGACTGGAACAAGGACAAACAGTCACAGCAACAGACTGGAACAAGGACAGACAACCACAGCAACAGACTGGAACAAGGAAAGACAGGCACAGCAACAGACTGGAACAAGGAAAGACAGCCACAACAACAGACTGGAACAAGGACAAACAGGCACAACAACAGACTGGAACAAGGAAAGACAGCCACAACAACAGACTGGAACAAGGACAAACAGGCACAGCAACAGACTGGAACAAGGACAAACAGGCACAGCAACAGACTGGAACAAGGACAAACAGGCACAGCAACAGACTGGAACAAGGACAAACAGTCACAGCAACAGACTGGAACAAGGACAAACAGCCACAGCAACAGACTGGAACAAGGAAAAATAAAGACACAGCAGAACTAAAACATTAACAATAACACCAAACAAAATAATAAAGTCAGGGAATAACTCAAGAGGGAAGACTTGCTTGCTGGTAGAACACCAGCACACTGTTTCCCCAATTGTTCTCGTGGCCCCTCATACTTTTCACGAGGTTTATTCTGCAACTTTGCTCGTAAGCCTCACTCCAGAGAGGTATTTTAGCGTGCAGATTAGGGAAACGACCCCCCTCCCCTCCCCCCCCCCTGCTGTGGTATTTCCAGATGAGGTCAATACGCGCGCGCGCGTGCGGGGCCCACACGACGGAGGACAACTGACTGGATTAAGGGACTTTGTTGACACCGGAGTTAGGCGCTCCAGTGCATTCCATCTCCAAAAGATGATGACCATGGCCCATCACCCTTAATCGCAGGGCGCAACCCGTTTTCGCACTGGCTTATAGTCAATATTGGCTTATTAATAAGTGCATATGTGACATACTAATTTATTGTGAATATTTTAGTTTACCTTGAAAAAGCTGAATAGAAAACACCGACCTAACCTAACCTTCTTAGTAAGTGAAGATAAGCATCTTATAGCTTCTTAATTACAATTAGTACTTAACCTATACCTATATTGATATTACAGTTTTATAAAAATAATGAAACGAAACCAAAATATTTAAATAAATTGTAAAGTAACTCAGGATATTGTCAAAATATTGTATAAAATCTCTCGTGTTTAATAAAACTGAAAAAGAAATTCCTAATATTAAATTAAAACTGGTGTTTAGCAAATCTGTAGGAAGAGTTTGTACCTGAGAAACAAAATATAACTTGGCATATACCTCATATGTACTTACTAATCAGCCAAATAGCGACTATAAGCAATAAGTCATATATGTACTTGAGGTTATCTTGAGATGATTTCGGGGCTTTAGTGTCCCCGCGGCCCGGTCCTCGACCAGGCCTCCACCCCCAGGAAGCAGCCCGTGACAGCTGACTAACACCCAGGTACCTATTTTACTGCTAGGTAACAGGGGCATAGGGTGAAAGAAACTCTGCCCATTGTTTCTCGCCGGCGCCTGGGATCGAACCCAGGACCACAGGATCACAAGTCCAGCGTGCTGTCCGCTCGGCCGACCGGCTCCCTGTCTTGTACTGTCTTGTGCCAGAGCGGGTTGCAGGGCGACCGAATCACATCCACCAGCAAGGCGACCGACGAATTCGGACGACCGAATCACATCCACCAGCAGGGCGACCGACGAATTCGGACGACCGAATCACACCCAGCAGGAGGGCGGCGAGGTATCCGAAGCCAGGCTCCCGGGACGTGACACACACAGAGTCGCAGCAGCGCCGGTAAAGGTACAGAGGCCATATTTAAATTCAGGCTGCGGGTGTCGCCATTAGGTATGTGGGTCGGGAGGCTAATATACGACACGCCATAACTCTCAACATTTACGCCAGCCAGGGACGAGCACACGAATTTTGGATCACCCAAACCACCCCGCGGACAAATATTTTATGATAGGTGCTTGCCACTACCACGCACTCACGCACTCGCACACTCACGCACTCTCACACTCACGCACTCCCACTGTCTCAGCTAAAAGCTAAGTTGAAGCTATTAACTTCTATAAGCTATTAAACTTCAATATGAAGCTATTAACAGAATGGTTAGAAGACAAAAAAAATCAGGCGAGCCTAATACACACATGAAATTAGACACACACGAGCCTAATACACACACGAAATTAGACACACACGAGCCTAATACACACACGAAATTAGACACACACGAGCCTAATACACACACGAGCCTAATACACACACGAAATTAGACACACACGAGCCTAATACACACACACGAGCCTAATACACACACGAAATTAGACACACACGAGCCTAATACACACACGAAATTAGACACACACGAGCCTAATACACACACGAACCTAATACACACACAAGCCTAATACACACACGAGCCTAATACACACACGAAATTAGACACACACGAGCCTAATACACACACGAGCCTAATACACACACGAGCCTAATACACACACGAGCCTAATACACACACAAAAATGGGAGGAAACCAAAAAAATTAGTTATGCCGCTAGACTGGACCCAGAGGCGACAGGCAAGAGCTACGCGGAAATAAACTATATTATTTTAACCTCGCGTCACTGGAAGCGATAACAATCAGAGGAGAAATGATCACCACATCCAAATGACTCAAGAGAATCGAAGTGGGTTACCAGGCCAGCTTACTTACCATGGGTGGTCAATGAATAAGGACAGGCTGGTGGAACAGAAGTAGGCTTTTCCGAATGAGCAACAGGAATATTCGGAACAAATGAAAATGTTAAGAATACTACAAAATATATAGAATTCTATTCTATAATAAATATAAAATTTTCTATAAAAATATATAGAAGTTATAACACAAAATATATACACCTCAGCCTGTTGGACCAAACTCTCACAAGTCAAGCCTGGCCTCGGGCCGCTCCAAGCAACAGCCTGGTGGACCAAACTCTCACAAGTCAAGCCTGGCCTCGGGCCGCTCCAAGCAACAGCCTGGTGGACCAAACTCTCACAAGTCAAGCCTGGCCTCGGGCCGCTCCAAGCAACAGCCTGGTGGACCAAACTCTCACAAGTCAAGCCTGGCCTCGGGCCGCTCCAAGCAACAGCCTGTTGGACCAAACTCTCACAAGTCAAGCCTGGCCTCGGGCCGCTCCAAGCAACAGCCTGGTGGACCAAACTCTCACAAGTCAAGCCTGGCCTCGGGCCGCTCCAAGCAACAGCCTGGTGGACCAAACTCTCACAAGTCAAGCCTGGCCTCGGGCCGCTCCAAGCAACAGCCTGGTGGACCAAACTCTTGCAAGTCAAGCCTGGCCTCGGGCCGCTCCAAGCAACTGCCTGTTGGACCAAGCTCTCACAAGTCAAGCCTGGCCTCGGGCCGCTCCAAGCAACAGCCTGGTGGACCAAACTCTCGCAAGTCAAGCCTGGCCTCGGGGCGGGTTTGGGGAGTAGAAGAACTCCCAGAACCCCATCAACCAGGTACAATCCATGTAGATAGAATGACGACTCCATGTACGGATTCAAAGACACTAGACCATGTCGTGAGGCTCAGGAACCTCTATATAAGTTGATGATTGAGGACAGAGAAGAGCTGAAGCTCAACCCAAAGGCAGCACAGCTAGGTGAATATACACTACGCTTGATCAACCAGTGAGCTCCCTTACACCAACCACCACTTTCACAGGACTTTCCTCGGACAAAAAAAATCTCTGGGACTCTAGTATTTTCCCGCTGAAAGAAACCAAAGTGTGAAAAAAGCACTCGGCCAATCAGAGCGCGAGACTGCCAGACCAAAACAAAAGCCAACACAACTCTCGCATTTGTCAGCAAACGGTGAAAACAAAATACCCCCCAAAAATAAAAGGAGAAAATGAAAACAAAAATGAAACCCATGAAAGAACGAAATAGAAAGAAAGCCCAAGGAGAAGAAGAAAGGCACGATAGCTCTCTAGACCATCACTAACCACTTGGGCTGGACGGTAGAGCGACGATCTCCCTTCATGCAGGTCGGCGTTCAATCCCCGACCGTCCAAGTGGTTGGGGGGGCCCTCATTCCTTCCCATCCGTCCCATCCCAAATCCTTATCCCGACCCCTTCCCTGTGCTATTTACTCGTAATGGCTTGGCGGTGTTCCGTGATAATTCCCTCCTCCCCTCCCTACCAACCAACAGATACTACCAACTACTCTACCCACAAATCATGGATGACAACACCACAACTCCAGCAAGAACTTTCCCCGGAAAAGAAAGGTAAAACAAAGAATTAAAAAAAACACCAAAATATAAGCCTCCAACCAAGAGAATGTTACTGGAACAACTTCTTACAGCCAATCACGTCTCTCCATTTACCGAAACAAGATGTCAAACGTGAAAAAAAAAGGAAATCGACTAGCCGAAAGGGAGGTGCTACTACCTGTATTTCTTGGGTCGTTTATGTGGAAAAAAACTAAGGAAGGTAAAAGCCTGGAAGATCCCTGGTTTTAAACCAGGAGAGGAACGCCCACTCCAGACGCCCACTCCGTCTGGAACGCCCACTCCAGACGCCCACTCCGTCTGGAACGCCCACTCCAGACGCCCACTCCGTCTGGAACGCCCACTCCGTCTGGAACGCCCACTCCAGACGCCCACTCCGTCTGGAACGCCCACTCCAGACGCCCACTCCGTCTGGAACGCCCGGGCTTGCTCGCAAACTATGGGAGTGGGGAAATTTCCCTCCTGCTCTTAGCCCGCCTACTTCTCTCTGCCACACCCTCCTCCCGCCTACTTCTCTCTGTCACACCCTCCTCCCGCCTACTTCTCTCTGCCACACCCTCCTCCCGCCTACTTCTCTCTGCCACACCCTCCTCCCGCCTACTTCTCTCTGCCACACCCTCCTCCCGCCTACTTCTCTCTGCCACACCCTCCTCCCGCCTACTTCTCTCTGCCACACCCTCCTCCCGCCTACTTCTCTCTGCCACACCCTCCTCCCGCCTACTTCTCTCTGCCACACCCTCCTCCCGCCTACTTCTCTCTACCACACCCTCCTCCCGCCTACTTCTCTCTGCCACACCCTCCTCCCACCTACTTCTCTCTACCACACCCTCCCGCCTACTTCTCTCTCTACCACACCCTCCTCCCGCCTACTTCTCTCTACCACACCCTCCTCCCGCCTACTTCTCTCTACCACACCCTCCTCCCGCCTACTTCTCTCTGCCACACCCTCCTCCCACCTACTTCTCTCTGCCACACCCTCCTCCCGCCTACTTCTCTCTGCCACACCCTCCTCCCGCCTACTTCTCTCTGCCACACCCTCCTCCCGCCTACTTCTCTCTGCCACACCCTCCTCCCGCCTACTTCTCTCTCTACCACACCACCCTCCTCCCACCTACTTCTCTCTCTACCACACCACCCTCCTCCCACCTACTTCTCTCTCTACCACACCACCCTCCTCCCACCTACTACTCTCTCTACCACACCACCCTCCTCCCACCTACTTCTCTCTCTACCACACCACCCTCCTCCCACCTACTTCTCTCTCTACCACACCACCCTCCTCCCACCTACTTCTCTCTCTACCACACCACCCTCCCACCTACTTCTCTACCACACCACCCTCCTCCCACCTACTTCTCTACCACACCACCCTCCTCCCACCTACTTCTCTCTCTACCACACTCTCCTCCCGCCTACTTCTCTCTACCACACCCTCCTCCCACCTACTACTCTCTCTACCACACCACCCTCCTCCCACCTACTTCTCTCTCTACCACACCACCCTCCTCCCACCTACTTCTCTACCACACCACCCTCTCCCCATGTTCAAGTTTGTATTAACTTCTATTTATAAGCTGACAGCTTGAACTGAGTCGTGAGATACTTAGCGGGTGGAAGTAGAGAATAAAGTCCAACGTTTAGGTAAGACCGCTCGCACGGCCGACAAACTTGATTCAGTGTTTGTTCCACTTTTTATCCCAGGAGAAGTTAAGTTTTGTAGTGGCGCTAAGTTTGACCTAAGCCTACCACTTACCTAAGAGTGTTGCTCTCAGGTAAGCTTACCCAAGTTCCCTTAGTTCCTCCTGTCTTCCGAAACTCACAGGACTTATAATAGGTATATATAATTTAATATATAATTTAATATATAATTTACGGTTGTTTGGTATAAGTAGGTAACCACGTAGGTACAGTTGTTCAACGTCCTCCCAGCGAGCATAAGAAATATTGCCGGAACAACCGTGGACATCTTCAAGAGGAAACTAGATTGTTTCCTCCAAGGAGTGCCGGACCAACCAGGCTGTGGTGGGTATGTGGGCCTGCGGGCCGCTCCAAGCAACAGCCTGGTGGACCAAACTCTCACAAGTCAAGCCTGGCCTCGGGCCGCTCCAAGCAACAGCCTGGTGGACCAAACTCTCACAAGTCAAGCCTGGCCTCGGGCCGCTCCAAGCAACAGCCTGGTGGACCAAACTCTCACAAGTCAGGCCTGGCCTCGGGCCGCTCCAAGCAACAGCCTGGTGGACCAAGCTCTCAAGTCAAGCCTGGCCTCGGGCCGCTCCAAGCAACAGCCTGGTGGACCAAACTCTCACAAGTCAAGCCTGGTGGACCAAACTCTCACAAGTCAAGCCTGGCCTCGGGCCGCTCCAAGCAACAGCCTTGTGGACCAAACTCTCACAAGTCAGGCCTGGCCTCGGGCCGCTCCAAGCAACAGCCTAGTGGACCAAACTCTCACAAGTCAGGCCTGGCCTCGGGCCGCTCCAAGCAACAGCCTGGTGGACCACTCTCTCAAGTCAAGCCTGGCCTCGGGCCGCTCCAAGCAACAGCCTGGTGGATCACTCTCTCAAGTCAAGCCTGGCCTCGGGCCGCTCCAAGCAACAGCCTGGTGGACCACTCTCTCAAGTCAAGCCTGGCCTCGGGCCGCTCCAAGCAACAGCCTGGTGGACCAAACTCTCACAAGTCAAGCCTGGCCTCGGGCCGCTCCAAGCAACAGCCTGGTGGACCAAACTCTCACAAGTCAAGCCTGGCCTCGGGCCGCTCCAAGCAACAGCCTGGTGGACCAAACTCTCACAAGTCAAGCCTGGCCTCGGGCCGGGCTTGGGGAGTAGAAGAACTCCCAGAACCCCATCAACCAGGTACAATTTACAGATACAGTAGTATTCTAAATAATTATTCTACAGTACTCTATACTATAATCTATATTATTCCTAATTATACATCTATATTATTCTTTATTATATATCAATTTATATAATTCTTTACTCTATCTTACTCTATATTCTAACTTATTCCATATAATTCTATATGACAGTCAGTAGTATACAATTATAGCTGGATATCATTTGACTAGTTTTACCCTGATTTGATTAGTGCATATGAGTTTAGTGTTGGTCCCATCCCCATTCCATCCCAAATCCTTATCCTGACCCGTTCCAAGTGCTATATAGTCGTAATGGCTTGGCAGTTTCTTGCCCCTGATAATTCCCGGCCCTTATACTCCTATACACGTAGCATTGTTAGTGAAGAGTTGCAAAAGGGACGGCAAAGTTGCATCATTGA